TACTTTTGCTGTCGTTAAGTGTTGCACCGGATTCTTGGCTGTATATTTTGTAGCAACGATACACGTTTTTAAAATCGTCTTGACAGCTTGCGAATATCGACACATCATCCGCGTATGCACTCAGTTTGATATTAAGTTGTGAGGGAGACATAGGAATCGAGAAACCTTGTAGTAGTTTTCGGGTTAGGTTTAGGAATGGTTCTATGGCTAATGAAAAAAGTGGACCTGACAAAGGGCAACCTTGCCGAATACCGCTTGCAATTCTGACAGCGCTAGTAAGTACCGATCCTATTCTATAATGGCTAAATATGTTTCGGTATAACAGTTTCACCATATTCACAAAGGATTCCCCAAGGTTCATCTTCTTTAGTACATAAAATAGATATTGATGATCTATATTATCAAATGCGGCTTTTTGATCTAGGTTTATTATCGCTAGCTCCCTGTTTTGGTGGTTTGCATAGTGGAGCAACTCCCTGTGTAAGTGTATTGCGTCATACATAGATCTATTGGGGATGGAGTAACTTTGGTCTGCTGGTATAAGTTTATTAATGACATCAGATAGTCTGGCGGAAACTGCCTTTGCTATAATTTTATAATCCGTGTTCAGAATGGATACCGGTCGCCAATTACCAATTTCCAAAAGATCTCCTCCTTTGGGTAAAAGCGTTATCACTGCTTTGGATGTTGATCGGGGAAGTTGCTGAGACCTAATGGATGATTTTACCATTTGGTGAAACGGTCCTTTTAAAAGCTCCCAGAAGTGTACGTAAAACGACGACGTCAACCCATCCAATCCTGGCGCACTTCTCTTGTTTAAAGAAATCAGGGCAGTTGATAATTCCTTCATGGAGACATCACACTGCAAGGTTTCCTTCTCTGAGTTACTCAGCGTCGCAAGGTCCTTATATAGCATACTCGAGGTATTTATCTGAACGATTTTTTTCCGATGCACTGCGTTAAAATATTCCACAACTATAGAGCTTAGCGTCGGCAGATCTTCGACAACTATGTTGTTGTGTCTCAAACTAGACAACGACTTGTAGGGGATTTTTTTAATCTTTTCTGATGATGGTTGGTCTGCATGGACAAAACAGTCGTACTTTGTCGCTGCAAGCTCCTTTTCGGTAGTTCGGAAAAATGTATCTTTGGCGTCTTTTAAAATGGTGCCTAATTGGTCATTATTGGCTGCCGAATCCTGACATCCAACCGCAAGCGCCGTTTGTAACTGTCTATGCAGTAAACGGATCTCGATGTGTGACATTTGCTTCTTTTGACGCAAGTATAATATGGTAATGTCCCTCACCTTCAGTTTCATTTGTTCCCACCAACTTAATATGTTCGTTTCATCTTGATTATTTATTTCACTGGATAGGAAGGTTTTCATGGTTTCGATATAGTTTTTATCTTGTAGTAGAAAATCATTAAATTTCCAATAGGGCGGAGATGATGAGACCTTCCCGGTTTTGAAAGATGCTGAAAGTGAATGGTCTGAAAAGCTGACGTGGAGCATGGTTGCATTCAGTTGAGTAACTAACTTGGTAGAAACATATATCCTGTCTAATCTAGCGGCCGTACTGTTCGTTCTGTTAAAGAAGGTGTATCCGCCCTTGTTCTTGTTATAGATGTTCCAACAGTCTTGCAGGTTTGCCGCTATTACTATGCGCAAGACTTACATATCGCTTACATATACGTACGTAAAAATTACGTTCATTGTAAACACCTTCGTATGTTTCTATACAGTTCAACTTTGCGAAATTTTTACGTTTTATGTATTTCTTACGTATACGTTCATTGTAAACGCACACTAGGTATAGTTTTACGTACATCAAAAAACACTTTATGTATTACATACCTTGAAATGTCGTAAATCCAAGCTCTTGAAAAACGACGAGTTGGTATAAAATTAGCGACGGGGAACGTACAACCAAGGAAAAACAGGACACAAGACGCAAAGTGGTTAATAAAAATGACGTGAGCAAACTGTCAAAACAGTACCATCATTCGGTTTAGAATACTCGGAGCACGGAATGTACCGCATCGTTCTAAAGGCTTTCTATTGGCCAATTTGAATTATTTTGAAAGTAGTTCACATATTTTCCGGCGACATTAAACCAAGCATTAAACTTTAAATATATAATTCTCAACTATTACATTTAGCAAATTAATTAATTCTACTACTATTTTAATAAATTTTATTTACATTCGTCCTATAAAAGGAATAATTTTTATCACCCAACAATGCTGTTTGTATGTTACTACACTGACAGGCGTCCTCTCTCTTTCCTTCTCTAAGTGGATATGGATAATGCGATAAATGATAAAAAAAGAATAAGTGAAAAAACCACTAGTGCATTTGTCGCTGGAAAAGTTGCAGGTAACTTGCCGCTGTCAAGGTGACAATTGCACAGCGGCTTTGTTAATCTTTGTATTGTATATTTTGGGTTCGTGGTACCTCAATTGTACATAAACTGTAATAATATTGTATTTTCTTGATTCAATTTATTTAATTCGAACAGAGCAGAATCTCTAATGACAATCCAATTGAAAAATAATAAATATGTAACCACAGAATAAGACCTTCACAGAACAGAAACATAAATGGCGCTAAATTGTCACTGATTACAGCGTTTCCCGTGGTTGTACGGAGAACTATTTATCGCAGACTCAAATATTTTTTTGCAAAACCTGTAATTTTGCTCGTTACAGGAAATATTTTTACCGTCGATTTTATACGTACATGTCAATTTTGACTTTTGAAAGATTTAAAATATGAACAAGTTATGTGACCGTAAAAAGTGTTGTGTGGCGGATTGTAACGATAAAATATCAAAAAGGCATCGTTTCCCATATTTTGAAACAGATTGTTTTGTGCTTGAAACGCGAAGATGATTGAAATGTGCTGTTATTTCTCTGCTATTTATGCAAGGTATGGAATTTATAAATTACCAACGGTATAGGCGCAAAAGGGTGTAGACATGAGTTTTATATTTATATAGACATAGATACTTATATTGTAATCCCTTTTAGACAATGAATACAAAATACGTTTTAGATAATTCAACAACTTCCACCCTCGCCTCTCAAGTAACAAGTAAGCACCAGAATCAAGTTAACATTTGTTGTCAAAAACTTGTGTGACAATTTGCTGAAACGGTTTTATTACCTCTTGGAACAAAAAATTTAGTTCTAAAGATATTTTTTAACAAAAATATGTAGTCCAAACAGCAATTAAAACCAAATATTTCGTACGACAAATCGTTATGTAAGGATCTTTCTTCAAAGTGTTAACATCTACAAACCGTAAGTTCCACTCACTTCTGAGTTTTATATGTAATTTGTAAACATGTAATTTAAGTTCTCTGTGTTAAATAATGTAATGTGATTGTATCTAAATACACTTTAATTTAACAACTGTGTATTCTTTATCGATATTTATGATTTATATGGAATTTGGGAAATTACTTCATGACTTTAGAAGCTGGTCACCAGATGGCGCTACTCTGATTTCGATGCTTTAGTTCACAGTACACCACCAGGCTCCGCCAAAATACCATACAAATTTGTAACATTGCTGTTTCTATTCTGAGAAGGCCGTATTCTGTGTATGTAACTAAGTAACACTGCTAAGCAACCAAAACCACCGACATATATAACAGGCTTATGCGATTTTTATACATGAGTTAAATTGTCACTTCAAATCACAACGTGAAAATTAGGGTCCAAAAAGACTGAATGCAGGAGAAGGTGAGGGGGAAATTCATTAGTGCTTTACCCTAACATCCGGATCAAAAATAATCCCAGGATTATTTTTTGTTTCTAACTGAACCCAAAACTTACCACGGTATTTTGTGGTGATGTCCGTGGATAAGGGCAGTTTTACAGATGGAGAAGCAACGCCGCCGTTAAGGATACTTCCACGGCTTCCTATAATTACCAGGCTAAATTGTATGAAATTTGATAACACTGTTTCGTTGGCCTATGATTTTATGTCAGTGTCAGTGCAAATTTATTTTTAAAATTACTTATGCTAGCGACATGAAAGAAAATGGTTATGTGACTGGTATTCAAGCTTCCGAAGGACCAGGAAAACACAAGTTCAACTCGGACCGATCCCTTAGGAAGAAGACAGAAGATTGCAAAAAAAATTCAAAGAAAAGCAGGATATTTGGCTGTAAAAAGATTTTATAAAAAGTTAGACAGAATTTTTTAGTGGTGCCAGTGATTTGCAAAGTAGCTACCTATAGTAGTCATCCAAGATGAAAAATGAGTGTGGAAACTAATAGTGTTTATTTTTATATTTTAAATTTTGAAAAGTTGTGCAGAGTTTCATCAAGTGTAACAGTTGATACAGAATTGAAGGTTTGGGTATGTTTGAACAATTAGACGCTTAAAGGCGGAAACCAGAGACTTGTTATAACTAGACCGCGCGTAACGTAGATTTTACTATAAACGCCTGTTGTCAAGATAGGATAGGCAACCAACTGTTCATCGCGGGGCAGACGTACGTTCTGCAACTTGCTTTAGCCATGTTTATTATAAATTTTAGTAGCAAAAAAGATAACATATATGTAGCTGTTAACTGTTTTAATCGAATTTATTGGTAACTGTTATTTATTTTTCTTAGACTGCTGATAACCATTTTGTTTACAACGCGGTGTGGTGTGGATTGAATGTAAAACCTGAACACATTTTCAGCAATTTGGCAAATTTTTAATGCATCGCTTGATACGTGCAACAATCCTCCACGATTTTTTCTAGTTAAAAGCTTTGAATGACTCTCTGATGCGAATATCGCATCTGCACATATGGAACATTTAACAGACTTAGCTATTTTTCTTGTAACAAAACCTGAAATATACTTAGTACCAGTAAGTACTT